TTTCATTTTCTGGCTTCTATCTTCTTTTCTTTCTTTCATTTTCTGGCTTCTATCTTCTTTTCTTTCTTTCATTTTCTGGCTTCTATCTTCTTTTCTTTCTTTCATTTTCTAGCTTCTATCTTCCGTTCTTTCTTTCATTTTCTGGCTTCTATCTTCTTTTCTTTCTTTCATTTTCTGGCTTCTATCTTCTTTTCTTTCTTTCATTTTCTGGCTTCTATCTTCTTTTCTTTCTTTCATTTTCTAGCTTCTATCTTCTTTTCTTTTTTCATTTTCTGGCATTCATCTTTTTCTTTCTTTCTTTTCTTTTCATTTTCTTTCTTTTCTTTCCATTCTTCTATCTTCTTTTCTTTCTTTCATTTTCTGGCTTCTATCTTCTTTTCTTTCTTTTTTCTGGCTTCTATCTTTTTCTTTTTCATTTTCTTTCATTTCTTTTCATTCTTTCATTTTCTTCTCTTTCTCCTTTCTTTCTTTCATTTTCTGGCTTCTATCTTCTTTTCTTTCTTTCATTTTCTGGCTTCTATCTTCTTTTCTTTCTTTCATTTTCTTCTTTTTCTTTCTTTTCTTTCTTTTCATTTTCTAGCTTCTATCTTTTTCTTTCTTTCATTTTTTTCTTCTATCTTCTTTTCTTTCTTTCATTTTCTGGCTTCTATCTTCCTTTTCTTTCTTTCATTTTCTGGCTTCTATCTTCTTTTCTTTCTTTTTTTTTCTATTTTCCTTTTTTCTTCTTTTTTTTTCTTTTTTCTTTTTTTCTGGCTTCTATCTTTTTTCTTTCTTTCATTTTCTGGCTTCTATCTTCTTTTCTTTCTTTCATTTTCTAGCTTCTATCTTCTTTCTTTCTTTCATTTTCTTTCTTTTCCTTCTTTTCTTTCTTTCATTTTTTTTTTTTTTCTTCTTCTTTTCTTTCTTTCATTTTCTTTCTATCTTCTTTTCTTTCTTTCATTTTCTGGCTTCTATCTTCTTTTCTTTCTTTCATTTTCTAGCTTCTATCTTCCTTTCTTTCTTTCATTTTCTGGCTTCTATCTTCTTTTCTTTCTTTCATTTTCTGGCTTCTATCTTCTTTTCTTTCTTTCATTTTCTGGCTTCTATCTTCTTTTCTTTCTTTCATTTTCTAGCTTCTATCTTCTTTTCTTTCTTTCATTTTCTGGCTTCTATCTTCTTTTCTTTCTTTCATTTTCTGGCTTCTATCTTCTTTTCTTTCTTTTCATTTTCTCTTTTTCTTCATTTTCTTTGTCATCTTTCTTTCATTTTTCTTTTCTAGCTTCTATCTTCTTTCTTTTTTTTTCATTTTCTGGCTTCTATCTTCTTTTTCTTTCTTTCATTTTCTAGCTTCTATCTTCTTTTCTTTCTTTCATTTCTGGCTTTTCTTTCTTTCTTTCTTTCATTTTCTTTCTTTCTTTTCTTTTCTTTTTTCATTTTCTTTTCTCTTCATTTTCTTTCTTTCATTTTCTTTTCTATTTCTTTTCTTTCTTTCATTTCTGGCTTCTATTTCTTTTCTTTCTTTCATTTTCTTTCTTCTATCTTCTTTTCTTTCTTTCATTTTCTAGCTTCTATCTTCTTTTCTTTCTTTCATTTTCTTTTCTATCTTTTTTCTTTCTTTCATTTTCTGGCTTCTATCTTCTTTTCTTTCTTTCATTTTCTGGCTTCTATCTTCTTTTCTTTCTTTCATTTCTTTTCTTCTATCTTCTTTTTCTTTCTTTCATTTTCTGGCTTCTATCTTCTTTTCTTTTCTTTTCATTTTCTGGCTTCTATCTTCTTTTTCTTTCTTTCATTTTCTGGCTTCTATCTTCTTTTCTTTCTTTCATTTTCTGGCTTCTATCTTTTTCTTTTTTTTGTTTTCGAACTTTCATTTTCTTTCTTCATTTCTTTCTATTTCTTTTCTTTCATTTTCTGGCTTCTATCTTCTTTTCTTTTATTCATTTTCTGGCTTCTATCTTTATTTTTTCTTTTCATTTTCTGGCTTCTATCTTCTTTTCTTTTCTTTCATTTTCTGGCTTCTATCTTCTTTTCTTTCTTTCATTTTCTGGCTTCTATCTTCTTTTCTTTCTTTCATTTTTCTGGCTTCTATCTTCTTTTCTTTTCTTTCATTTTCTAGCTTCTATTTTCTTTTCTTTCTTTCATTTTCTGGCTTCTATCTTCCTTTTCTTTTCTTTCATTTTCTGGCTTCTATCTTCTTTTTTTCTTTCATTTTCTGTCTTCTATCTTCTTTTCTTTCTTTCATTTTCTGGCTTCTATCTTTCTTTTTCTTTTCTTTCATTTTTTTTCTTTCTTTCTTTTCTTTTATCTTTTCTTTCTTTCATTTTCTGGCTTCTATCTTCTTTTCTTTCTTTTCATTTTTTCTGTTTCTATCTTCTTTTTTCTTTCTTTCATTTTCTGGCTTCTATCTTCTTTTCTTTCTTTCATTTTCTGGCTTCTATCTTCCTTTCTTTCTTTCATTTTCTGGCTTCTATCTTCTGTTCTTTCTTTCATTTTCTGGCTTCTATCTTCTTTTCTTTCTTTCATTTTCTGGCTTCTATCTTATTTTCTTTCTTTCATTTTCTGGCTTCTATCTTCTTTTCTTTCTTTCATTTTCTAGCTTCTATCTTCCGTTCTTTCTTTTCATTTTTTTCTTTCTTCTTTCTTCCGTTCTTTCTTTCATTTTTTTCTGGCTTCTATCTTCTTTTCTTTCTTTCATTTTCTGGCTTCTATCTTCTTTTTCTTTCTTTCATTTTCTGGCTTCTATCTTCTTTCTTTCTTTCATTTTTTTGGCTTCTATCTTCTTTTCTTTCTTTCATTTCTGGCTTCTATCTTCTTTTCTTTCTTTCCATTTTCATTTTCTATCTTCTTCTTTTCTTTCTTTCATTTTTTTTATTCTTCTCTTCTTTTATTTCTTTTTTCTTTTTTTCTGGCTTCTATCTTTTCTTTTCTTTCTTTCATTTTCTGTTTTTCTATTTTCTTTTCTTTTTCTTTCATTTTCTGGCTTCTATCTTTATTTTCTTTCTTTCATTTTCTTTCTTCTTTTTTTTTTCTTTTTTTTTTTTGGTTTTCTATTTTCTTCATTTCTTTTTTTCTTTCATTTTTTGGCTTCTATCTTATTTTCTTTCTTTCATTTTCTGGCTTCTATCTTCTTTTCTTTCTTTCATTTTCTAGCTTCTATCTTCTGTTCTTTCTTTCATTTTCTGGCTTCTATCTTCTTTTCTTTCTTTCATTTTCTGGCTTCTATCTTCTTTTCTTTCTTTCATTTTCTGGCTTCTATCTTCTTTTCTTTCTTTCATTTTCTTCTTCTCTTCTTTTTCTATCTTTCTTTTCATTTTCTGGCTTCTATCTTCTTTTCTTTCTTTCATTTCTGGCTTCTATCTTCTTTTTTCTTTTCTTTCTATCTTTTTTCTTTCTTTCATTTTCTAGCTTCTTCTTCTTTTCATTTTCTGGCTTTCATTTCTTTCTTTCATTTTCTGGCTTCTATCTTCTTTTCTTTCTTTCATTTTCTGGCTTCTATCTTCTTTTCTTTCTTTTTTTTTCTAGCTTCTATCTTCTTTTCTTTCTTCATTTTCTAGCTTCTATCTTTTTTTTCTTTTTCATTTCTGGCTTCTATCTTCTTTTCTTTCTTTTCATTTTTCTAAAATTCTGTCTTCTTTTCTTTTCTTTCATTTTTTTCTATCTTTTATTTCTTTCATTTTTTTTCTATCTTTCATTTCATTTTTCTGGCTTCTATCTTTCTTTTCTTTCTTTCATTTTCTAGCTTCTATCTTCTTTTCTTTCTTTCATTTTCTGGTTCTATCTTCTTTTTTCTTTCTTTCATTTTCTGGCTTCTTCTTTTCTTTCTTTCATTTCTGGCTTCTATCTTCTTTTCTTTCTTTCATTTTCTGGCTTCTATCTTCTTTTCTTTCTTTCATTTTCTAGCTTCTATCTTCCGTTCTTTCTTTCATTTTCTGGCTTCTATCTTCTTTTCTTTCTTTCATTTTCTGGCTTCTATCTTCTTTTTTTCTAGAAAATCTTTCATTTCTAACTTCTATCTTCCGTTCTTTCTTTTTCATTTTCTGGCTTCTATCTTCTTTTTTCTTCTTTCATTTCTAGCTTCTATCTTATTTCTTTCTTTCATTTTTGAGTCTATCTTCTTTCTTTCTTTCATTTTCTAGCTTCTATCTTCTTTTTTTCTTTCATTTTCTGGCTTCTATCTTCTTTTCTTTCTTTCATTTTCTGGCTTCTCTTATTTTCTTTCTTTCATTTTCTCTTTCTATTTTCTTTTCTTTCTTTCTTTTTCTGCTTTTATCTTCTTTTTTCTTTTTTTTTTTCTGGCTTCTGTCTTTCTTTTCTTTTAGCTTTCATTTTCTGGCTTCTGTCTTCTTTTCATTTCATTTTTCATTTTACTAAAACAGACGTTAAACACTTCTATTTTCTTTTCTTTCTTTCATTTTCTGGCTTCAACCAAGTAGCGTCTTTTATTTGTATTTTCTCTTCTTACGCCATCAAAACGGAATAGACGGTCACTTATGAGATATTGGCGAGGGGCACCTCGTAGTAGTGTAATGGTTAGCAAGCATGTCTCGCTAGAACAATTATGTCTGAGTAGTGAGTTCAGTCCTCACTTGGTGCCCCATACATTCGGCCTTGTGTCACATCTGAGCTACGCTTGGAAAATCATTATTAAGGGCCCTCGTTGTGGTGTAATGGTTAGCAAGCTCGTTCTGCGAGAACAATTACGACTGAGTAGTGATTTCGATCCTCACTCGGTGCCCCATACTTTCGGCCATGTGCCACATCTAAGCTACGCTTGGAAAATAACTATGAGATATTGGCTCGGCGTAACGGTCGTGCGAACTAAGGAATGAGGGTACGATCACAATTATTACACACTTTTAGGGGTTTAACTCTACCAATTCGGGGTCACGAATTTCGACTTTACACGGGGATCTTTTCCGCGCTAGTTTTTTGACGGCTATCCACTTCCCACTGAACTTTTCTCTCTGAAGACATTCTCCTTCAATCGGCGTCTTGATTTCGTGAAGGCTCAAATGGAATTCGTCCTGCGGCCACATCACGTTGAAACACCAATTCCCGTACGATCATGGAAGTTAAGCAACGTCGAGCCTGGTCAGTACATAGATGGGTAATCGCTTGGGAAGACCAGGTGCTGTAAGCTTGGATATGCGAGTGGTGTAATGGATAATAGCTCGGAATTGTTAATCATAGGACCGGCTTCCAGTTTCAGTTGGGTTTGTTATATTCATTTGCGCTTAAAATAATCTTGAGAATTGTATGAATCCATCTCATCTCCCCCAACTATGTGTTAATTTTGTAAGACTTGTACCACTAAATCATTATACTGTTGAAAAAAAAAATAACATCTAAAAATATTTTTTGGCTTTAAATAAAACTGCAAATTGTTGATAATCCGTAGGAAAATAATCTATCAACTAGAACTCGTTTACCAACTGTTTCTTACATCCCTCTGGTTGTATTTCGGGGCTGTTCAGTATCTTCATTAATTAAGTTTTTATCACTTCGATTTTTTTTTTATTTTTCAGTAATAATATGTCGTGTCTGTGATATTTTTCGACTACAATTCTTGAAAATTTTAATGTGGGTACGTCATAACCTTAGATAGATGTTTATGGGAGTGTTTTTTAAAGTTTTCTCTTACAAAATAAAATAAACTATACTCTATTTTGCATATGCAGTTAGTGTCACAGTTAACAACGCCGAAAGAGAAAATGGCGACCTCAGTTCGAATTCCGGTCGTGTTTGTTACGCTCCCTTTTCAAAAAATTCACATGAGAAAGGTTGGAAACAATCTCTTCTCTCCCAAACTATGCGTTAAATAGTAGAATTGATTGGGTTCCTTCCTTTGTGGCGACAACCAATCGAGTATAAAGAAAACTCTGAATCCAAATCCAGCGTAAAAAGGGATGGCCATCGTCAGGCGTCTTTTCCACGACGCACAAAAGCTGCTATGGCTGCAGTACGTGTACGCTCCTTCAACTCTAACTGGTTACAGGAATCGTGGACTTAACTTGGCGTGATTCTCTGTTCTGTCGATAACTCTCAAATTTGTGAAAATACGACAATGAAAACAACAAGGTATAATAATGTATTTTTCCGTTTAGCGCCAATTGAACTTAATTCTGTTATATTTATTTTGCACCCTGGGGTATCCCTTCCCCGAAGAAGACCACTGGGAGACTAGCAACAATTCATCATCGATAGTGTCGGTGTCCATAATGAAAAGTCCAGTGTGTTGGACTTTTGTTTATCCCAATGTGATATATTCGTTCGACGAAACGGACTAACGTTTGGCGACATTCACTTAAGCAAACTTTAGGGAACAAGAATGAAGGAGTGTAAGCATATAGTTCTATACGTATCTTTAGATTCACTCATCACGTATACCAGTTTATATGCAAACACACACACACGCACACACACATACATAGACACACACACACATATATATATATATATATATATATATATATATATATATATATATATATATACACTATAATTAACTCACAACGAAAACATTTAAGATCGACAACTTATCGGCAATATATTCAAGCACAGACATCCCCCCTCACTCACACACACACATATATAATTTTATTTATTCAAAAATTATAACATAATCATAAAGGTTATGTTATAATTTTTAAATAAATAACATTTGCTCTATTCTGTATTGGTACTGTTGTTTTAGGAATAGCGTTTTTGGTTATTGAAATTTTTAGTCCATCTACATAATCCTATACTAGTATATATATATATATATATATATATATATATATATATATATATATATATATATATATATACTAACCTTTATGTACACATTCAAGTTCGTAGACCTTCACTCATATGCGAATATACACACACACACACACATATATATATATATATATATATATATATATTTATATATATACACAATTTTTATTTAAATTTTTAATTCATTTTATTATTTTTAATGCTAATTACGGTCTATTTTTTAATATATTACTATTAAATATATATCCATATTTTGATAAAAACAACTAATCTGCCTTTAATTATGTAATTTTAAAAATATGAATATTCCTCACTCAAATATACAATTTTATTTTATGTTACACACACAACACACACACACACACACACACACACACACATATATATATATATATATATATATATATATATATATATATAAATGAACCTTATTTTAAAAGGAAAATATAAATTTGAAATGTTATAATCAAAAGTGTAATCCCAGCATAAATTATAATTACATAACATTGTGATAATCAGATATATTATAATTCGAAATTGTGTAACAGTCAGTTCAGACTCAGCACCTGATGACTGCGTCGTGCATGCAGTCAAGGATATGTATATTTATTAATATATATATATATATATATATATATATATATATATATATATATATATATATACAGAGAGAGAGAGAGAGAGAGGATTTGTCTGACAATAGCAAATAGCCTGAAATCCAGGGTCACAAACTCACATCAATCCAACTTTATATATATATATATATATATATATATATATATATATATATATATATATATATATATATACATACATAGAGAGAGAGAGAGAGAGAGAGAGAGAGATAGTTTGTCTGACAATAGCAAATAGCGTGAAATCCAGGGTCACAAACTCACATCAATCCAACTTTATATATATATATATATATATATATATATATATATATATATATATATATATATATATATATATATATATTCTATCAATACAATATAGTACTAACTATAAAGACACATTTACAATACTGGAAAGTATTTTAATATAAAAGAAACAACGTGCATTTAATACGTTTCCTCTTGGGAATGTCATTTTTCAAATGCGTGTAATATACTTTAATATGCGTATAAAATCTAGCTCAGAGAAAATAGTTTTACACGTAGCGCCATTAATATGATACGTGGATCGTTGAATTAATTTGAATTCTAGCTTCCCAAGAAATACCAAAATGCAGACAACAAACTCTTATTTTGCATACTGACAACATCCAGGTTTTGCTCATGACTGAGACTGTCTGTAAAATTTGAATAGAATGGAAAAAAAATAACTTTCGGCAGTTTATTCACAATTTTGATCCGAATGTGCAACAACTAATTTGAAAATTGGAAATATACAATAAGAGATTAAATAAACTATGTCTTGAATTTCATTGAATTCTTGTTGCCAACATTTCGACGAATCTGTACTACCTAAATATACCTTATATATAGCTGAAATAATGTTAACCAGTGTCCTTTATTTCGACTAGCTTATATAGTATTTCGAGCTCGAGTTGTTTTATCACATTGAGCTCCCATACACGCACATCAACTTACTTTTTATTATAAGGTATTTTTCGGATACACGTTTTTCTTTTTCTTATTTTTCCACACTCAGTAACTACTTGTGTCTTAGTGGCTTTATTGCCTTGCTTGAGTTGAAACGACTAAGAAATCTATTCTATTCAGTTACTGTCAAAGAATGTAAAGCAAGCATTTATTTAATCTACGCTGATGTATTTGTTCTCGTTCCTTATGTCTGTTGTCTTTCCTAGACACATAAACCGGTATTATATGATATATCATGAGGGTAATGCATGAAGTTTCAAATCGGTGGTATCAGAATCAAGCAGGAACAGATATTTAACTTATCTGGGTAGTCCAGTAACAGACGATGGGAAATGTAACATAGATCTGAAGTCGCATTGTAATAGCGAAAGATGACTTCCAGAAACTAAGCGAAGTATTAAAACATTGACAAATTTCGTTAAAACAAAGAAAAGATCTTCTGAATTGCTTTATCATATTTACCCTCCTATATGGCAGTGAATGCTATATAAACTCCTCACAGATGAAGATTACATTTGAAGTAACAGATATGTAGTTCTACAGAAGGATGCTGAGAATACCGGAGCATGAGCAGAACATGTAAAAAGGAAGTTTTAAAGAAAATGGTAACAAGAATTGATTTATACTTAAAATCAGGAGACGATTGTAATATCTGGAACACATAATGAGAAAAGAAGGTTTTTTAAAATTGACACAGGTTATACCGTAGACTAAAGGGACAGGTTAAATTGCGAGTAACCCACCTAACGAGTTAGTGCAAATGGATTCCAGAAAAAGGGTATAGTAAAAAGGCAAATATTTCTAAGAGCTACAAATGATATAAAGTGCGGAAGAATTATGATCGCATGACTGAAGAGACATGACATGTAACAGAAAAGTTCCCGAACTAGGATATGTTGACGCACTCTATAACTGACGTCAGTCGAGAGACAACTGATGTTCGACGAAGGTCCTCATAGATATTTTTTATATATATTTTTCTGGCGTTTTACAGGTAGTTAGTCGATCGTTCTGAACGCTCATAATCTTGAAGCAACACTTTAAAATGCACATGTGCCACTCAAAAACTAGAGTTTCAGTGGAATGTTCGCAAAAATTCTGTTTATGCATTTCAAGACTCTCGGTAAGGCGATTAGCCGAGCTTCATGCAAAAAGTTGATGCATGAACGTTGATTGAATTTATCAGCCACCGTAAAGATCGCAAAGCCGTTTCAGCACAGCATTGCAAAACTTCTCGTAACGATTCAACACGAGGAGAAAGAACGGGCGCCTACTGATGTATTAGCCCAGAAAATACGAAAATAAATCGTTGGTTGGGTGGTTGGTTTGTTTAACGGCATATCAACTCTATGTATCGTTTAATGCCGAAATTTAATTTTTATTAGAGTTTTGAAGTAAATAAATATACGATATTTACAATTCACAGTTGAATACATGTTAGATGATACTCAGCTTTTGTGGATATACATGTTTGTGTGGGCACAATTACTTCAGGCGGTGATATGTGTGTTTTATATTGTAGCTTTGTTGACGTTACATTTTCGAATACAGTTTGATTTCTTTAAGAAAGTGTAGATTATTGTATGGATTAATGTCATGAAAGAGTTTTCATATTGGTTGTTTGGTTCGTCGATTTTGTTTAGCGACATATCAACCACTATTTAGATCTAAATATTCTGAACACGATTTTATGGCTTCAACTATATATATATATATATATATATATATATATATATATATATATATATATATATTTGGTTGGATAGATGTGA